AAGGGGAAAAAAATATAGAATTCGTTTAAAGTCATCATTTCGTAGTTCTCTGGTCGATGCAATGACCGTGTCAGCAAATAGCCAAATACAATTTACATGATTGTTGAATCAAATGCTAACTGACCTTTTTCACCATTGTAAGTCCATTATTTATATACACTGAATTGACACGATTTTGTTATATCCTGATGTGACAAGGAGCACATAGCGGGTGTGATCGGTTGGCAGGGGATGCTTACTACTCCATGAGAACTGATCCCACCTCTGAAGTTTTGGACGTCCATGTTTGCTCTGCTCCTGTTTTGTATTGTTTAAGGGACTTTTGAATACTGTTCGTTATCTCCATATTTTTCATTTATTTTTTGTTAATTACAAATGAATAATTTATTAAAAAATAATTTTAATCACTCATATATGTAACTTTTCCTGAACAATTCAATCTATATACTGAGAAATACTGTATATTTTTCTATGGATATGCATAATTCTATATTGCTAATTTGATGTCTGATAATAAACTGTAAACCTTAAAGAATGAAATATGTAGATAACGAACAGTAATCATGCTCCAAATGTTCATTGAAACTGAATAATAATGAGCAGGGCGAACACGGACCTCTAAAATCATTTCAAGATGGGATCATGTACCTTAGAGTAAAACGCATCCCCTGTCGACCGGTAACGCCCGCCGTGTCCTCTTTGACATGATCAAGTAAACGAATTCGAAAGAACTGTATACATTTCAAAGTAAAAATAATGGCTCTGCACCTTCTACTAAAACCGGTAGTCAATAACCAGTTTAATGATGTATTTGCTGGCAAGGTCATTTTCTCGACCAAAGAAATTTGCGAAATGAATACTCCATATCGTTATTTCATTGATGAAATAAGGCATTAATTATGTAACTAACACATGTTTTGCAAAATTACTTATAATTTATTTTCAGCTTGCTCAAATGGTGTTGACCATTCCCACAGCACCATTTACAGGAATAATACTCTACAGTATTTTTTGCACATCTGCAACAACAGCGGTAACGTAGTAACACCTGGAATAGTTAGTTATTTACTTAAATGTAGTATGAAGACCATTGTTAAATTTCGTAAGAACAATTCATGTTTCAATTGCTAAGTTATTATGAATGAAGTTAATTTATTTTTTGCAAAAGTAAAATTCAGAGATAATGGAGAGGGAAAAAACTGCAATTAATTTTCATTGCATTGGGGATTTGCTTCTAGTTTCTGTCATCTTTTCTCTACCTTGTGCAGAAAATTAAGGAATTATTTTCTGACAAAGCTTTACAAATACTACTTTTATTGGAACAGGGAAGAGAGTTGAAAGCTAAATCAGGAATAGGAAGATGATTCACTTTATTTTAATACGAAATGTCATTTCATTTAACCACCCATCCCATTAAGGTAATCAACGAAAATCGAATATATAAAGGATTAATTATTCATATATTTCTTTTTCTATTCAGGGAGCTATTGTCGGTGGTGTGACGTCACTCTTGTTTTACATTTGGATGGCCATCGGTAATATCGTGGTCAGTCCCCCGTCTGTTGAGAAGAAGCTTCCCCCGGCTCCAGTAGACCAGTGTATAAGCAACTCCTCTATGTTAGGCAGCCTAGCATCTTCTAACATTAGTAGCTTGAACTCCAGTCTTACAGGCAGCACAGTACCTTATACCTTGTGAGTAATAAAACCAGATGTGCTGTACTGTACTTGTTAAAAATAAATAATTTAAAGATTTTAAGGACAGGGATAAAGTACATAAAAGACTGAACCCACTCTTGAAAGCTTTAATAAAGTATAAATGTCGCCAATCTCAAAATTCTCATCAAAAAATATTAATTCGAATTGAGAACAGATTGATTAATTGTATGTTGTCTAACATCCCTTTTGAGAATGTTGCACTCATATAAAGATGCCACTACTTGCCCATGGAGAGCTACAAATTTTGTCCTATACTCGACACTCAGGGCCATTGAGCAATATCTTTTTCGTGCCAGCACGTTCTGCAACACGGAACCTTTGTTTATATGGTCTCATCCGAAGGACTGGATTCCACACCCCACAATGGGATTCTATCCCCTGACGTAAGGATCAACTCCTTACATCACGACTCTAGAGCAGACGCTCTAACCTCAGCGCTACACGGGTGACTATTGAGAACAGGCACGAACTCTAACAAACAGTAACAAGAAAACATTGATGTAACCATCAATTGTCGCCCGGGAAATATATAAAGTAAACAATGGAATTAAATCTTGATCATCAAACCGCTTTGATATGTGTGAAAAGATATGCGTCTAATTGATGGAGACGATAGTGGCGAATATTTTGAAAACTCATAGTCGGATAAAAATCAAACAAAAACGATACAATTTTAAACTTCCTCAATTCCTCAAGTAAATGTTGGCTGCATAAAATATAAATTAAAACTAGACACATGCATCACCTATATTCAAAAATGTATTTTAAAATTTTCAATTTCCAAATATAAAACACGAACTGTGCAGAGTACGTTTTTATGCGATAAGTAAAATTCGATGTTCTAAAAAAAGGGACCTGTCATTTTATCTATAGTAGATGATAAGCAACTTTATATATTAAATATGAAAAACATACATATTTTTACAGATTCACTTTATGGAAGTAAATATATTATGTATCTCCTAATTTATAAAGGAAAGAACATTCTGATTAGCAATCTTTTCAATGTTTAGAAAACCTTTAATTCTGAATAACTACTCCCGCCCCAATCCACATACACCAACACTTAAACTTGTATGTATAGAGCAGCCCGGTCCTCCGGGCTGCAATAATAATAATAATAATACCCCTCTATAAGATATAACTTGGCTTTGACATTTTTTTTTCAAGAAAGATACTCACACTTAAACCGATAAAACAATTATGTGTAAGTTTTTAGCTCACCTCAACGAAGTTGGGGGAGCTTATGTAATACCCTCGGCGTCCCCGTCGGCGTCGGTGTCGGTGTCGGCGTCCCAGGTTAAGTTTTTTGGAGCAGTTTTCTTTTAAAGTACTTCTATGTCCTATATTGATTAGAAATGCATGGAAGATGCTTCTAGTGTGTTTCATTGTACCAGTCAAAGTTTCAGATGCTGCAATTTCAGCAAAGGAATGACCAGGTTAAGGTTTTTGGAGCAGGTTAACATTTTTGGTGTAGTTTTTGGTGTTGGTGTCATTTCCAAGGAACATAAGCCCTATGTTGACCAAACTTGCATGGATGATACATCTAAGGATGTATACTACCGGGTTTGATTCGGATGCTGAATCTGACCTACATTTTACGGTTGAGTGAACAGGTGAATGATTTTGGTGCAGGTCTCATTTACAAGTAACAATAAGTCCTATGTTGACCAAACTTGCATGGATTATACATCTAAGGATGCACACTACCAGGCTTGCTTCGGATGCTGAATCTGACCTACATTTTCCGGTTGAGTGAACAGGTTAAAGTTTTTGGTGCAGGTCTCATTTCCAAGATACTATGAGCACTATTATGACCAAACTTGCAGGTTTGATACATCTAAATGGACTTGCTTCGAATGCTGAATCTGACCTACATTTTCCGGTTGAGTGAACAGGTTTAAGTTTTAGGTGCAGTTTTCATTTTCAAGATACTTTGAGCCCCATTATGACCAAACTTGCATGGATGGTACATTTAAGGATGCATACTACCAGACTTACTTGGGATGCTGGATCTGACCTACATTTTCCGGTTGAGTGAACAGGTTAAAGTTTTAGGTACAGTTTTCATTTCTAACATACTTTGAGCCCTATTATGACCAAACTTGTATAGATGGTACATCTAAAGATGCATACTACCAGACTTACTTCGGATGCTGAAGCTGACCTACATTTTCCGGTTGAGTGAACAGGTTAAAGTTTATGGTGCAGGTTTCATTTCCAAGTAACTATGAGCCCTATAATGAGCAAACTTGCATGGACCATACATCTTAGGATGCACACTAATGGACTTGCTTCAGATGCTGAATTAGACATACATTTTTCAGATAATGGACCAGGTAAAAGTTATGGGTGCAGGTCTATTACCAAAAACTATAAGGCTTATATAACATTCTATAAACCAAACTTGCTCAAATGATGCATCAAGGGATGAAAACTCTCAAATTTGCTTCAGATGCTGGATTTTAATTACATTTTCATGAAAAAGAACTAGTTTGAAGTTTTTATAAAGCTCTATTCCAAAGTATCAGATCAAAATTGCATAAATATTTTCATTTTCGGATGTACACTTTTTTTTGGTGAATTGTGTGACTTTGCCTTACTTAAAGACAACATTCGTTGAGGTGAGCTCTGTAATCTCTGATTACCTATGTTTTCTGATATATGATACTTTAATAAAGTGACATATATGTTAAGACTTTGGCTTATTACAAATTTACGATTCACATCAAGCACAACGCGTACGAGCTTTATAGAATAGAGAGAGATGATCAGATCGACACATTTCATAGATAATTTTTTTTCGAACCCTCCAGAAATAATGTACATAATTCCATTAGGTAATATAACTTACCTTCGGTTATTATGAAGAGTTAGTTCTTGCACAGAGCTAAAGGAAATGATAATTGCATTGAAAAATTGTCAAAAACCAGTTTTAAAAGAATAAAAAAAACATAATTTTTTCCTTGTTAATTCCAGAGAAGGTTTCAATAAGATTTACACCTTATCCTTTCAATGGTTTGACGTCATCGCAATTTTCCTTGTGATTGTAATTGGTCTGATTGTTAGCAGAATCGTAGGTAAGCTGTTATTACTAGACAAACAAAGCAGGTAGATACATATATTATAATATATTTTTATGCCTACCTGCCCAAATTCCGTTTAAGAAGAAGAATCAACTACCATATAAAGAATAAAAATGGTCATTTATTAAGGAGTACAAATCATAAGAACTTCACAATACATAATAGCATAATTATATAAAAAAAAAAGTCATAAAAAGACATTACACAAAAATGATGTGACAGGTACAAAAAATCTAACACTCGTTCAATAAATGACAATAAATCAAAAGACATATATGTACACAAAATACTACAAAACTATCACACATTTGTATCCTGAGAAATGGACTGACTAGTAAAATTATTATGCAACAAAATTTGGTTAGAATTGAAACTAAACGACAGAAAACCTATTACTAAATTTAATATTTCATTCACATCATTTTTTACTTTGAAATTTGTCTGCACCTTGTTGTCATTAACATTTCCCTAAACCTCACACACATTTAATGCTCAATTTTAACCAATTATTAAAGCATATGTATAGCCTGAGATTGGAAGGTCCGAAAATCACTGTAAGAAAAAAAAAATTAAAAATGATTTAAAAATTTTTTTTTTTAAACAAACCGTGTTACGACAATTTTAGGACAAATTATCACTCGCCATTATGATCAAATAGGAAGAAATACAAAAACCTAAGAAAACAAGATTCATCAAGTTTACAAACATGCCAGTGAAGCTTTAGAGCATATGAAAGGTCTGGTTAAACTCTTCAAAGTTGGATGCAGCCGCAAATTCGCAGTGATTAAGAGATTAAATATAACGATGATTGAGGTTATCTAACCGAACATATCTACGAATACAGACATTTTAATTTTCTTAAATTTCTTTTCAAAGATTCAAGTTATTTAAACAGAATTCAGAATTGCATCTTGGTCTAGATGTGTTGAAATGTATCAAGGAAAAGAATTTCAGATAGTTCAAGACATATTCTCTGTTTTTCCATACAGGCAATCCAAGTATCACACTCTTAGGATAATAATATGGAATAAAAAGAGTACAAAAGAAAAAAATAGCTGAAATAACTCATTTTCGTTAGGATTTTATTTCTGTTGTTTTCAAGGCATAAAAACCCTTGCATTTATATCCACCAGGAAAAGCAAATTTCATATACACAACTACTAATTAAAATTATTCATAATCAATGACAAAAAATCCCCACAAACTGATAGGTCTTAATCTAACGTTGAAAATTTGACTTCATAGAATATTGTATTATGCTAAAAAAAAAAACGAAAAAAAGAAATCTTAGTCGAAAATGAAGAATTAAGGCATAGAGAATTTTGATGAATGTTTGAAGATATTTTATTGTCAATCTTATGTTCTCGGCTGTATTTTTCCCCATTGAAGTGCTTTATTAGTCACAATTGAATTAAATGACATCTAGAATGAAATATATGTTAAATCATTAAAAAAACCATTCAATAACAAATGCTGCATGATTAAAAAAAAACAAGTAGAAGGATTTTCTTATTTTTATAATTTATTGTGCATACAATGCATACAAGTGTTTGAACATTTTATTTTGTTGCATATATTTCATTTTTATAAACTCGTCCATTTAAAAAAAATTTTTTTTTATTTTAGGAGCTCCAAAAGAAGAGGAAGTAGACGCAAGATATGTTTTGAGTTTTACTGAACAATTTTTTCCATATTTACCAGAAAAAGTAAAACATTTTCTTTCCTGTGGATCAACAATAGCAAAGGTATTTAATTCTAATTCTGAAAACTTACGTAGGGTCAAGGTCAAATAGCCGATTCTTACTGAAATTCCTTTCTTTCTTTGTTAATACCAATTCACATGTTGCACATTTTGATATTTCAAATATCATAGAACTAATTTTATATAACTTTGTGCATTTTGAATTAATTGACATGTTTTTTCCCAAAGTGACGATCAATATTCGCATACGTTTTACATTGTAAACGAATTCATCTCTCCCTTTGAATGACTTTATACAAAACTATACTTTATATGACACGTTAACATAGAATGAACACAGATATAAAGTAATAAATATTGGAGTCTTACGAAATGACCATAAAAAAATACTTTTCATCTAATCAAGTGTTTCTTCTAAAATTTTATTTTAGAGGCGCAAACAAATTCAAGCGGAAGAACGCCAAGATAATCAGCAAATTTTGATAGACGAAAAATCCAGTGTAAATGGACCTAACGATAGTTGACAGAGCTGTAAGAAGAGTGGATGGGACTACGGGAATGGGGCATTAAACAACCAATTCATACCACAGTGTTCATGAATTCTTTAGTTTTATGTCACCTCAAATATCAAAAGATGTGTTTTATGTGTAAAATGTAAACAATAATTCACGGTTTAAATGGTATATACATGTAGTATGTGTATTTACATGTACATTTTAAAGTACATGTAGGTATACAGGCTGTCATTGGGTTACTGGTAACCTAAAACTTGTCAAAAAATTCAAATATCGAATTTTTCACACTGCATTTTCGTTAGTTTTCACTATATGTCATGCGTTATTTCATGTTCTTGATTCCTAATAAGTTGATCTTACAGGGATAACAAGAACCTTGTCAGCATTTCGTGCAGTCTATGGTCGTTATAACGACCATTTAGTAAATATTATTAATCATTGTTCCGTATTGCGGCTGACACGTTTCAATCTAATTGTTAGGTGATTTTATGCCGAATTTTACAAAGGAACTTAGTTTAAAGTTACATGTTATTTATATATGTCATGAGAATAAAACAGTTCCAGAAATATAAAGGTAATCTTTTTCCAAACATGGAATGTGAATAGCCACATTAAAGAATTACAATACAAACATACACATAGAAGGAATATTAAAAATCATCTAAAATGACAACCCAAATAACTAAAAAGACAATATTATACTTTATGTGATAAATTGCATTATCAATAAAATTATGCAATGCTTTCAGTGTTTTATGTTTATTTTAAATAATTTCATATCCTTATATTTCATGTCCAGTGGTAGGACGTCTGCTTCGTGATCGGGAGACCTGAGTTCGATTCTCGTCCGTCAAATCTCACACGAAAATATAGAAAGTGATTATCTTTTGCAAAAGTGAAAGTGACGGGTATTTCTCGAATGAAAAAAAAAATAACAAAGGTGGCATATCACGGAAGGTGATTGCACATCGTCAGAAGGAACCCGTATCGCTCAATAACCCTGCATGTCGTGTAAATGTCTAAGTTTGAAGAACTTTATTGATTTATTATAGTGATCCTTGATCGGAAGTGCATTGGTTCAAATCCCGTCCGTGACTGAGATAATTCGATTACAAAAAATAGGCAGTAACCGTTCGTCTGCCAAGCGTTCGATCAGAAATGCAAGTTGCTAGTCTCTTGTAAGAGACCTTAAAACAGAGGCCCCGGGTCAGGACAGTCGTTGGCACGATAAAAACCCCATAGTGCTAAAAGGCCCTGGGTGACAATAAAATATTAAAATAATGATTTGAAGCCCCTTGCCAATAGATATTGATGTTTCATGGTTGATTCGATACGAAAAAGTATACTTTACAGACGATTTAAAAACGTGGTAAGCTATTTACAAACATTTTGATAAATGCAGGAATATTAAACGTCTTTTTATGATCATCATTTTGCAAGTTTTTTTATCGGTACATTTGCCATCTCAGCAAATACAATCTATCATTAAGTCACTTTTAAAACCATTATTTACACATTGATTTTTTAAGTTTCTTTTCATTTTTCCCGATCATGACAAAAAGCAAACAGCGGGTGTGAATTGCACCTAGTCCCATCTTTTTTATATTTTGGAGGTCCATGTTCGCGCTGCTCCTGATTTATATAGTTTAAATGAACTTTTGGGCTTAAATACATTTCATTATTTCCATATTTCAATACAAAATCAATATTGTTAGAACTTATCAATATAATTAAATGAATTATTGACAAACGAATAAACATAAAAATTAAAAAAGATAAACGTGTATCTTGTTGTAGTCAGGCAAGTAGTTTGTTATGGAAGTTGTAATTCTTTGAATTATATTTGGATTTCATTGATATTCTTCGTTGATATTTTTCGAGCTGCACTCTGCTTAAACTATGAAAAAAAAATTTCAAATTAAAGTCGGTGTATAAATGTTAAGGCCACAAAAAATAAAGACATATATAATATACATGTACCTAATATCCGATTGATAGCTTTTTTAGTTATGAAATGCATGAAGAGAAATTATTTATGACACTGGGATGTGTGGGGTTTTTTTTGTTAATCAATTCATCACTTATTAATTTAAGAACTGCATTCATTTATTTGAATAAAGTTGTCCTTCATCAAAAATGAAACTTTGTTTCTTGAAAAATTGATAATTAAAACAAGAATATTAAATACGTTTATATAATGGTCAGTTTACTTATAATCTATTAATCCGAAATGTACCTGGCTACATGGTTTAAAATTTTATGAAATGAATTAATATTTGTTAAGGAGGCTGGGGGGTCAACAAATTAAAAAAAAATTAACCACCAGATATAACTTAAATTTTTAGATATGATATCTTTAGCTGTCAACTATCATTTGACACAGAAAAATTTTAATGTATATTAGTTTTAAAATTTGATCATTTTTATATATCTTTATATGGAGCTCTTCTTCTATAGGAGATAGAAATAGTCTAAAAATGGCCACGACCGCCCAGCCTCTTTAAAACAGGGATTGTGACAAAATCATTCGTACATGTCATGTTTTTAAATTATATCTAGCAGTGTTGTACTAAATTTTATAACCATGTAACCAAATACACTTATCAATATCGATTCAGTGTGTTGGACTTTCAATCTTAAGTATATTTGTCTATAGGTCATACACATAAAGCGAAGGGTTCGCTTAAATATGTCTATGATTTGTCTTAGCATGTGATTTGAATTAACATGCTTATCAGACTAGTGGGGGTTGTCTGTGTATGGTTCTCTTGGTGCAAGATTGAGCACAGAACTTTAAATGAGCTAAGGCCCTGCTGATCATTTATTCATATATTAGTTATGCAACTTGATTCCCTCTTCTTTTTTTGGTCATATTTTAATGAGACTAAGGCATAATGATATACTTTATATTATGTAAAACTTGACTCCATTTTCAACAAAAATGACAATTTGTCCTCAAATATTGCAAAGGTGTGCATCCAATCAAAATTCATGTGTGATGCTTCACTGTTTATGTAGATTAAGAATTTAGTCAGCATTAATAAAATAAACACTGTGTGGACAAGGCCGAAAGATTGTTGGCAGTAAAAGGTATGTGCATAATAATTTTATTTTCGAAATTCAAACAAAATTAACTCTTCTTATTTCGAAGATGATCGTAGAACAATGCTCTGGGTTTATTTACATTTGTGCACATGTTTACACATGGCCGATAATATCCCTTAACGAAAATATTGCTTTCATGCAAATATTTGCTGCAAGTCTGCAGCAAACATTGCTGCAAACTTGTAGCAGGCATTGCTGCAAGCTTGCGGCAATATAGCCAAAGAAAGCATGACAGTCTATACAACGCCTTGGTGTTTGCAGTAAGTTTTCGGCAAGTCTGCAGCAAGCTTGTAGCAAACATTTTACCATGCAAATGAGGTTTGCTGCAAGTCTGCAGCAAACACTGGATTTTCTAAATCTGGAAACCTTGCTGCAAGCTTATGGCAAACATTGCTGTAAGCTTACGGCAAACATTGCTGCTAACTTGCAGCAAATAATTTCCTTATTGTTTTGGCATAGTCCTGTGTATAAGCAGCAAGTTCGCAGAAAGCTTTTGTTCTGACCTAAATCTGTAAATTTTAGAGAAAATCCACTACATGTTTCTTAAATTATGCAATTTTATGAAGTTTTGATGGGCTCTCTTTATGTTTCTTGACAAAGTTTCCATACTTATTTTGAATAAAAGTGCATTATAGCCTTTTTTTATATGAACAGAAGATTTAGAACTTTGCATATAAGTTTTCATTAAATATTACCGTGATTACAATTACTAAACAAATTCATTTGAAAACATGTAACTGATTTGGGTCCATTAATACATTTAAAAAGTATACATATGTGATATTAAAATAAGGACTGATTTTAATAATAAATAGATTAAGATTTGACCTAGCAGTTACACCAGTTACTCAAACACGTTTTTAAGAAATATTTTTTATATCAAATTAAAACAAAATCATATCTTACCAGTTAGATATCATGGATGCCAATGAACGCCTATATCCGGAATTTTGTACTTTTAATTTTTCAATACCGTATATTCCTGTCAAAATACTGAAACATGTACAACTTCAATTCAATCATTTCAAAATGGCCAGTTCTGTGTTGACCCCAGTACAATCTGCATTTCATTGGCTGATTTGACTTGTTTACTGTTTTTGAGAACTTCCTGCAAACATTCGAATCATGAAATGTTTCCTGCGAACTTGCTGCGAACATTTAATTGGCGTGTATGTTTCTTGCAATTTTCCTGCAAACATGTTGAGTTCCTGCGAATTTGCTGCAAGCTAGCAGCAATTGCTGCAATGTTTGCCGCAAGATCGCTGCTAGCGGCAATCATCTGCAAACAAAAAAAAATTCTTCCTGCGAACAATTTTGTTTGTTGAAAGCTTACAGCAGATTTGCTGCAGGCTTGCAGCAAACATATCAATTTGGTAATGTTTACACCCGGACGATAACACTTTTCTGAGTTTTGTAGTAAATCTAAAAATCAGTATTTATGTTGGAGTTATACAAATGCAGGTGGAGTCGTTATCCTTCCGTAGTTACACGCATTTCATTAAACTATTATATCTTTAATCATAATTATTTCTAGCCGGAAACCCCACATTTCATAGAAAGATTTAGAATGCAATGCATGAATTCGAGGACAATTTCTTTGTTGAAAATTAAAGCTCGATCCCGGTAAAAAATTATTACACGTCCCGTCCGATTTTGACGAAAAATGAATTTGTCGCACTTCTATGAAAATTTCAATATTCTTAGACCATTATTAAACACGAGTATTATTTTCAAAACAAAAGAGCAATGACTGAAAATATTTGTTAATCAGAAAATTTTTCTGTATTTTATTGTACATCCGTAACAGAAAATATGAAAATATAATAGATATATCGAGTTCACAGAAAAGCGTATCGACCTCGCACGATATGCTTTTCTGTGAGGTTATCAACCTCATAAAAGGGCTATAAAGATGCGGATTCAATAGCTAGCATAGTGTTTCACTGTAGTAGTTCATATTGCACGTACATGTGTAAGTATAGGCATACAATTATACGAAGGATTGGCTACTTGAATTAAGTGAAGGAAAAGGAAATGGTATGAAAAGTTATAATATATGATGATAACTAAAAAAAGTCTAAGGCAACACATCGAGAACGTTTAAGCATTATTGTTGCTCTCAC